CGCTGTCCGGCTGTAATACAATCACAGTTGCTGTCATATACCAGGTGAATAAAAAGTATGGAACCAAACGTTTTTCGCTTAAACTATTTATTTTTTGGAAAAACTAATTGATGAATGATAAAGTGCTATAAAAATGTGATGATTTATCAAGAATAAAATTTTTCGAAATTTTCTTTTGTTTTTGAGTTCTACAAAAAAAAAAAATTTTTTTCAAATGGCAACCCACTATAAAATCATTTTTTTCATGAAAGTTATGATCTAAGGATTACAACTATCTACTTTATAGTTAATTTTTTAAAAAAATTTTTTTAACATAAATTGAAATTTTGACAAAAAAAAATCGCATAATTCAAAAACAAAATAAAATTTCGTACCCAAAATACTATCACATTTTTTATATTACTTTAATTTATATAAATTATTATTTTTTGAAGGCAAATGATTAAAAAAAAAACGCTTGGTTCCATACTTTATATTCACCCTGTATACAAATTACCTCAAGGAAAAACAGTGAAAAATGCTAATTGGGAAAAACTTGTGATCTTTTCATAAATCTTTGTAATTGACCGACACCTTGATACATTCTTTGCGTTTTTCATATCACGTTTCAAATAACCAAAATAAATCAAAAGAAACGATTTATAAAAAACCTGAGACCGCAAACAAATCTATGATATCTAGTAATTAATAAATTAATGCCTGTAATTAAACGGTTTTGATTTGTGTGAATATATGGAATTAATATGTTAATAACGCCGTTAATTATTCCAAGTCAGTGATTATAAAATAACGGTTTTGGGTAGGTGTTGTCTCTAAGCAATATTTTTTGCTTTACCCAAACACGAAAAATGCCGATTATACTTTTTCTCTTGTAATTGCTGCTCACGGGCAGCTCAAAATTATATTCTTCAAGTTGGCATTTATTGCACCGTGGATAAAGAAAGAACAGCAAAATATTATTTCGACGATGGCCTGAATCATGAAAAGCTTTAGGCTTCACAATAGAGCCAAAATAAAACAATAATTACATTTTTACAATTTAGCAACAAAAATGTGTAATTTTAAAAATTGTTACTGCGGCTTATCGTAACTATTGAGCTGTTAAACTCTTAGCCTTAATAATAAATCCACTTCAATGTGAATAAATTAAGCAGTATAGTAATTATAAATAATTCGTCATTTTACATATGTTTAATGAACGAATTAACACTCCTATTAGTGTCATTCGCGCTCGTTTTTAATCGGGGCCAGACGAAAGCCGGCAAATGAATCGATCACGTTTGCGTCTAGATTAAAGAAACCCGAAATGTTCAACCGCTAATAAACGAGAAAACTATGGGTCACGAATCGAATTAAAATAAGGAATAATTCGGAAAACCTGACGCTTTTCGCGGCAAAATTAAACAGTGCTAGTTTTTCAAAGGAAATGAAACACATGTGTTCGATAATTTATTTTAACAGTTGATTACGGAATCGGAACTCTACATGGGTAATGAGAAAGCCCGATTGCTTGATGAACTTTTCGCTACATCACGCTCGCTTAGAAAAGCAAAAAGCGCCCTATTGGATAGGTTGTATTTGAACCATTTCCAATTGCTTTCAAATGTGAGCTATGAATAGATGAATAGACGCCTCTGTTTGTAATTCAAGCCTTGTCGATCTAGAACTGCTAATAATTAGTTTTTTTTTACAGTACGCAAACTGGCGTAACGCCAGCTCCAGACTTGAATCACTTCAAAAAATCGAGATTTACACTGAAAATGTAAACTCATTGCCGTCGAACTACTCGAACTGTACACAATTAGCGAAAAATATTGTCGGAAAGCTCCACGAGATTCCGATTCTCCTGCACTTTTAGAACAGAAACTTGCAAAAAATCAATTGGAAGAAAAAGTTAATTGCATCTGGAAATTGCATTGACTCGAAACTTGTAATTAGTCTAAATAACAAGCTTGATTTACCAAACTAAAACTAGCACAAAACCCCTCTGCAACAATTTATATTATCAATCAGACTGTTGTACGTAAATGCATGGTAACAATATGTTCAATTGAAATTCACTGTTTAAACAAGAATATAATGCAATACTGGTATTAAGTGCAATTTGCAAGTGCTAAAATGGAGATTTCAATTTACACCAAAGTGAATAAAAATTTACTATTGCGAGAAGAAAAAAATTCAAAGCTAAAATTTAGTATTTGTTGACACTTTCCTGACCTGTTAATTATTAACACCATGTAGCTAAAATTCACATGAAATGACTTACTTTCAACTTATTTAAATAACTTACATAAAACATTTAAGGCTGTCTACGGGAGTGAACGGGCAAGACGGTTTTCAGCACTTATTATTCTTATTCAAAAGCAACCCAGCAATACACCCAAGACGAGGTCCAAACTCAGTCTTTACCTGTATTCAGGAGTTGGATTAGTAAGGGTGATAAATTGTAATAAAAGTAAAAGATCAGTTCGCTAATATTTTTATCCCTGGAATTTCTGGAAGTTGCCCCAGAAAAATCTTGCAATCTAAATATTGTTTTGACTTTTAGATCTTAAAAACAAATCTAATCATTAGAGGTTGTACATAATTACTAATTAGAAAGCTCACAGGTTCCATTTTCAATGGAAATTAAATTTTTGTATGGAGTAACAAGACATACAGGCTGTCCCAGAGCTCCGTATTTTTTCGATTACTCTGACAGTAAAGAAGATAACAAAATGCGGTTTCTTTTGGACGATAGACAATCATTTTTTCTATGGTTCAAAAATATTTTCGTTATTATAGGTAATTTCTATATAGGGTGGCGCAACAAAGTTAACATAAATAAAATGCATAAGCATATCTTCGTAAAACAATAAACAAAAAACCGTTTTTATTTAAGAAAAAAATTATTAGTATGGTAAACTTCAAAGTTTAAACAATTAATTAAAATAAAAAATATTTTGGCATAGCTCATTTACAACCTTTAAACATTTATTAATTTATTTCCAAAAAAACTGGTAGTTTACTCAAAAAAAATTCTTTAATTTTTGTAAGTCAAACATTTTTTTAATAAAAAAGTGTGAGGTATACAAAAAAATTTTGCATAGCAACAATTCTTGTAACAAGCTCATTGCCTAAAAAAATTGTGGTAGGTTTCCATTAAAAAAAATGTTACTATGTTTATCTCGTAGTATAAACAATTAATTAATAATCAATTTTTTTTTAAGAGCATTTTTATAGCCATTGCACACCTATAAATTTATTTGCCAAAAAAATTAATAGTTTTGCCAGAATAAAATCGTTTCCAGACTTTTGGACCCCCTGTATAAAGAAACAGGTCAATAATGTATTGTTTACACTTACCAACAGTGGCGGCTCGTCAGGGGCGGCAACATAGGCAGTGCTTATGCGATACAAAATTCAAAGAATGCAACAAAGAATACAAAATTGTAAAACTAAAAAAGAAACTGAACATCATGTGCCTGATAAAAAGCTTAAAACTTTTTAATTTTAATTAATTAATTATTTTTTATTTTAGATTTGTCAGTTTAAAGTAAAATATATTTTATATAAATATGTTCGTATACATAATAATTTTAGAAAAAGTTGTGCATTAGATGAGGGGGGAGAGGTCAACACAGCTTTGCCTGCCTACCCAGTTTTAATGATCACGAGCCGCCACTGCTTACCAAATGTTCAAGATTAAACGTTGTTTGCCAAAAAATGAAACGTAAACAAGATATACATAATTGTAAATAAATACGACTCGTACTGGATAAAAATCAAGGTAAAAAATGTAAAAAACGAGTAAATATAAGTTTGCGATTTTGAGCGAAATAAAAAAATTAATGAAATTGTAAATAATCATAAATTTTAAAGTAAAATTGTATAATGATTATTTTATTACAGCATAAACTAATTGATTTGAATGCGGGTCGTGAGAAGACCTACTAATGAGTGGTTAATTAAAATGTAATTCATGGTTTCGCATTATTTTAGTTAAATCAGCAACATTTGCTAACGAAATTAAATTAAATCAACTAACCTGATCATGTTAAAATCCACATGAAACATCCACTAACTTTGAATGTCAAGCACCAACTCATGAATCTTCAAGCCATTGTGGAAGAAGAATCGAAAAAACGTGTAGGAATGCAACGACAGTTGCAAGCAAATTAACTCAGAAGTCCCCCGTTAAAAAATTGTTAATGATATCATTTAGCATAAACTAATTCGTCGAAATTAACGATGAATGTATCTCAGTGCCAATAAGGTATTAAAGGTTGGTTGTCAACTCATTACTATTCTATCGGCAAGGAAGTTAAAGTTCATGAATGAGTGATGCAGTGACGGTTTTTTCTCCACGAATTAACTTATTGTATTCAATTGTGGTAACTTTTTCCTTTTACTTTTAATTTAGCTGCCTTTGAAGTGCCTTCAAACTTCCTTATTAATGAGGAATTTTAACAAAGTGACTTTAATCGAATTCTTAGTTGAAGCCCGAGCTGTAAACTTTCTAAATTTGGAAAAATAGTCCGGGGTTTGCAAATGCAATTTTGAATAAAAATACAAATCCCGCGTTGTGTTAAATTCGTGGTAACAATTATTCATTATTAATGCGCATTTTTGCCGCAGAGGCTTTATTAAAACATCCATTTTAGTGGTAATTTATGGACATTGGACACCGCATGACGACAAATCAATGGATTTCAATAGAGCGCTACGGAATAAAAACAAATTCACTAAGCGGATCCGTTATTATTATGAAACAATAATAATTAGACCTAACAAATGATTAAACATTTTGTTACAATCGACCAAACACGGCCACAAACAAAACCAAATTTGTCATTATTTCCAGAAGAGAAGTTTTAATTATTGAATTAATTAGTAAATTCACCTCGAAATATTTGAGGAGAAATTCCGTTACCGCCCTGTTAAATAATTAATTTGCCAACTTCACACAGAGAGTATAAAATATACTGGAAGCCTGGGGATTACGCCGAGTTTGAACTTACCGAGATACATCCTCTTGGCTGACAGCCCTTGGTGTTGAGGGTGGATGGTGCAGTGCGAGGTTTGATGAGTGAATCGACTCAGGATACGCGTTTGATGCCTTCGTAGCTGAAACCAACAATTTAAAACAATTTTTGAGTTGATCCATTTTAATTCTGTGCAAAATAAACAATAACCTTCCATTTGATAGAATTAAATTGGATTTGAGGATTTTTTAGCGTCGTCGTTTCATAATGAAAAAGGATCTGTATCTTATTTCACGTTACGAGGGTAAATAAATAGAGACACTATCGATTTTAAAACTTTGGTTTTATTTTTAATACTCGTGTTTCTGCAACGTTTCATTGTGATTTTCTTAATATCAAATATAGGCAACCAGTTATACGCGCTCTCGGGTAACCGTGAGTTTTTCATAAAGTTACACAAAGAAAAACCTCGTAATTTTTACCCGAGACAGATTTATTGTTCTTTGCAGCCATCACACAAGATAATGGTCTTTAGCATTTAGAAGCGGCAATTGTTGATGTCGCCGCCTAGCGCCTAACCTTCCTACAATTTAATAAAAATATGAATGGATAACTGCTCCTCGGCTCTAAGGTAAAATCTGACGTTTGAATTATAATTTCTGTCCGAAACAGTTATAACTCCAACTTACACAATTGCGGCGAATAGGAAGTATCTGATGCGGGAGCATTAAAGGCACTGTCTGGTTTGGCGACGACAAGCACAACCCTGTCCTGCGTTGTTTTGAGCGTTGTGACGGCGTCCTCATGGGTGACATTCTCCAGGTTAACTTCGCCTTTCTGGAAAAGAACAGTAAGAAACATTTAATTAAAGAGAACGAAGAAACTGTGAGGAAAAAAGAAATTGTTGCAGGCACCGATAGAGAAGAACAAGCGAAAGAAAATTTGATTAGGTAATTATGTTGGAAGAACTGACATTATTTTATGTGAAATACGTGTTTTCTTTTCTTTAAACCTGCTGGCGCCTTCAGAGAAATTAGTTGGCTAATTTTTACTTGGTCGCTTACTCTACAAAACGGATCCTTTCCTCATAACAGAGCAGGTGGATGATCATTAAGTTACAAAATCCGAGTGCTCCTCGGCAGATGCGACGGAAGAACGGATGAGGAAGTTGAGCTATGCAACTTTCAGGAGCGTCAGTTTTTCATTCAGAAACTCGTCTTAAATTCGGAAAATCCGCTCCGGAATATAACAAATCATCTCGGCCGTATTTATGATGTAAATTTACAAATTTCGATTAGCGAAAATTGAATCGGGTTATCGCCGAAATATGAAATTTTAACACCCTTCTCCGTAATAAATTCCACATTTTAAAAAGCGTGAAAAGCAGATACACTCAGTGTGCATGCGTTGTGTTGTTTTGCAAATTGTTTCGTGCATTTTTAATAATATGCCGACATGTTACAGAGCAATACCATTCACCGTATCGTTGCAAATTTCAAAAGACGACCGCATATATTTGAGATTATAAAAGAGAAACATTGCATTGAATAAAGAAAATACACGAGTACAAGACGAGGAAAATGAAATGTCACATCTGTAATTTAGGCAGAACCGCATTGATGATACAAACGTATAGTCATAAATGAAAATTCAAAACCCAATCGAAAAAAGTAACTGTAACAGTTATAGAAACATTGATAAACTCTAAAATATGTTTTTGTAAATGATAAATTACTATTCTTGGTATTTGTTACGTTTCTAATTGATATGAATAGACCTTAATAATAGTGTTTCAATGCATCGCTTATGGCAACAAATAAAACTAGTATCAGGAAAAATCCACATTGTTGAAAAGATCACGCGTTATTAGAAACAGTAGAAAAGAGAAATATGAAAAAAGATATTACAGCAATATTTCCATTTCGTGCTGCTTTTGAAAATCAATAGCACTATCAGTTCGTATATAAAAAAACATCCCTGATAGGCAAAAATACCTCAACTATTTTCCTCTAAAAAAATTTGCTTCTTTTACTAACGTTGAACGGAAGTTCGTTCAGCGAATACGTTTGTCGTCGTCTATTTTCTCAGAATAATGAAAAGCCCCGTAGTCAAAAGAACATGGAAATTGTAAACGCAAAGTAACGGGCTGACGACAGCGTATCATAAAATATTACAAAAAGAACGTATAACTAAACAAAAATGAGAATTGTGAACGTTATTTAGCACTTTAATAACGATTCCAAAACGTAGAACAAAACAAATTTATTTAAAGTCGCAACCACAATTTGAAAAAATGCATCTTTTTTATGTCACATAAAACAAGAAATCGCTTAAAACTTGTTGCTTTATAAACGTAAATTCTCGCGTCGTAAATGTTGAAGTGTCTCTCGATTGAGATTTTGAGACGTTCAGTCGACGAAACGTCTGGATAAGAGGATACTTACGACAGCGTCCCTGACTGCGACGAGTTTATCGCCAACAAGGAGACGACCATCCACTTGAGCAGCACCACCCTCCATCACTTTAGTGACATAAATGCCGTTATCACCGGGGATGTGCTGATTGCCAATGCCACCGGCAATGCTAAAGCCGAGACCTTTGTTGCCTTTTACCAACTCGATCTCCATCAGTCTCATGTTGCGAGGCTGTCGCCGTCGTCTCACGCACTGAAAAATTACAAATTACTAAATTCACTTTGTAATACAAAATAATTAACAAAAGTCTTAAGACTAGAACTACGACTAATCAACGCTTTGATCAAAGCTAATGGTTTCTCTTTGCAACAAAAAGTTTTTCTAATTAATTGACTAAGCAAAAACATAAAAAATTGTTTATGAGAATTTATAATTCGATTATAAAAAAAAATTGTGTTATCGCGTTGTTTGAAAATAATCATTTAAGTATAAGCGTTTTTCGAATTAAGTGCTAACGAGTTTGGACGTTCAGCCCTTGGGAAAAGCCTTTGATAGAAGTAAAAATCGTGTCGTTCGAAATTTGATTCCGCTTCTAAGTATATTTATTACTATCGAAGAGCATCGTCAATATTTCCGGAACAATTTTCTTCCTCGTTGATCAATCAATCGAAGGACCGGAACAACATCGATTTTGATGAGCGTGAAATTCCCTGAAGGGAAATAGGCCGAGTTTATCTTTGAGAAAACAGACGCGATTAAATACTCCTCTCCACGTATTTTTGCAATCAACTCGTCAAGTAAATATTTCCAGAAAAAATAAAATGATTACTCTATAATCCTTTCACAAAAATGGTGACACCTTTGAAATTGATTTGGGGACTGTTCACCCCCATATTTTTCAAGATTAAATAAAACACCTGCATGGACAAAAAATAATGTTTTTGCGTTGACAAGTTTCACTAAACTGAAACTGAAATTGCATGAGAATGCACCTAAATACGACACTAAAACATTTTTCTTCACTTGTATAAATTTGAACAGTGTCATGGGTGCACGACATAACCCGGCGCATCCGCCTTTTGTCGACTTGAAAGCCCGAATTGACACAGAAGTTACGATGATGCACTATCTGCAATAAAATAGTATTTTTGAGTGTAACTAATGACGACTCTCGACAATCTTTACAATAGTAGTTTCTTCGCGAGTTTTCAACAATCTTTTGAATCCGTGAGCGGTATCATTATTTACACTTGAATTGAAGCGAAAAATAACGAGGAAACGTCATTAAAACCGCAACTTACTAATTTGACTGTGTTGCCAGCCTTTTTGAGAGCTTCGACGGCGCTGGCATGAGGAACATCGACGACTGGGACATCGTTGACCGATAAAATTGAATCATTTACCCGGAGTCGACCGTCCGCCGACGCGGCTCCCCCAGGTATGAGTTTAGTGATATAAATTGCGGTGTCGTCACCAATATGGGGGTTGTCCGTGCCTCCGGCGATACTGAAACCCAATCCGGCACCACCCCTCTCCAAAATAATTTCCTCGTACTCCCATTCATCGTCGCCGTTTACCTGAAACAACCACGAGAATAATAGTTAAAAAATGACAGGAATAAAGTCTTTATGAGATGTTTTACAGCTATTCGAACATCAATCTAAATTAAGTAGGTATGAAAGTTTATGTGTGCATAAATATTTTATGAATGAAATCGATCATCGAAACCAAAAGCTCGATAACTTCTTAATAATTCTGTTACGAATAAATTTAAATATGAAAAATTCTGTTACTTCTTTTGCAAAGGCCATTTGGCTAGACCTTTTAATTTAAATATTTATCGCTTTGCCCGAAAAAATTTGCATAGAAATGGGCATTTTCGGAACGGATTATCTGCTGAAATTCGAGACTGACATATTAAACGATATTTCACTAATAATTGCGGTAAAAATGTAAGATCCTCGAACTAGGTTTACATTCAATTTCATTTTAACAGAGAAACTTAAAAAACGTGAACGAAGATAAAAAACGTAATCAATTTCTATAGATTTCTTGAAATGAAGCCACCAAAAGCAATTTTTGTTATAGACTTATTGATACTACAATATAAAGAATGAATCGCTTGGTCTCGAAAAATATAAAAATTTCAAATAATTACATTTTCAACATGAAACCTGCAAATTAGAGTGTCAGAATATGTATGTAACATCTATGTAAACAATCCTAATGGAGAAATGTAGTTTAATCAAGGTAATTCCGTTTTAAAACAACATAATCAATATTGAACAAAATATAATTGTTAATAACTTCTGCCAACAACCATTATATATATTTAGTAAATTTGTGCAATATTTTTGGCTAAACTTCCATTTACTCGCCTAGACTATCTTTCAAACACGATCCTTTATTATGTTTTAGAATTTTTTTTAATATAATTAGAGAAGCGTAAAATTAATTTGAACCGTAAATCATGATTAAAATTCATGCACTAAATTTAGCGTCCGAAATAAATCCAAGCCCTTGGTATTTAATTGGTTCTATTTATACAAACTTTACACAATTGTAAATTCAACAAAAGCTAATTAATACCAAAACTCAATTAAAATAAAAATGTAGTTTTGTTGTTTGCATTATTGGCTTTCTGATTGAAATGAACTCAAGATTCCGCAAACAAATAAAATGGATTTTCGTGAACAAATCAGAAAAACATACATTTGTTGGCAGAAGCAATAAACAATCGAACAATCAGAAATCGGCAAATGGATCGCAAATTATTTATACTCGTGACATCACCGGCGTAAAAATATCGTTGAAGATGAGGAAACACATTTTTTTTTGGCTCGGGTGCTATACGATTAAAAGCCGAAAAACTCTCTTGGATCAGATGCAAAATTACATAAAGCCCCGTCAGGGTAGTTAAAACCAGAGTGAACCAAACTAGCCGAATATTCGCAACAGAAATAGCTATCTCGATCTAACCTGGTTTTCACTGAAGCGTAAAGAAAGACAAACTAGATGAAAAATAATTAAATAAATTCTTAAAAAAGTCAAAAACGTACTGTTAAGTTAGCTTTACCAACGTCCCGTTTCACTCCGCAGCCCATTTAGTCTTTTGTAGAAAAGTTGTTGTATTTAACACGGGTGTCACGTGCAAATGGTACACGTAGTCCCAAAGATCACCTTCTTTCAACGTCCGGAACCAGAATACAAAAATCATTTAAAGAGATGACGGCGTATGTGAACGCGCGCGAATGAAAGGAAACTGAAAATCGCTCAGCATAAGAGGAGCACGCCACATCAATTTAAATCCCGCTAGAAACCGGCGAACTTTACAGTTAGGCTTCTCGACGACAGATGCTAATATTATTATTGTTTATTCACGTTACATAACATGAGAAACTGGCTCGCTTCTGCCAACGACAATACTGTTTGATTTCCTTGAAAACTTGATAAAATTGAAATACACAAAAGTTCGGCCACGTGTTTCGATGCAAAAGCAATAATTATAAAACCAAACAAATAATAATCATTTGTTTTTATTTATCAAGAAACGTGCCGTAAAGGTCTTTTTTATTAAAATTTTAATAATCCATTGTTTGCAACTGCTTGTGGTTTCATTTATTTTGACATTGAAGAATACAGTGAGCCTTCCGGTAATGAGACTAAAACCCAGGCTAAAATGTAGATTACTCCTGCTGCTTAGCCAAACTGATTAAAGTTAGATAAATGCTGAGACAGGTCGTTGATCAGCGTGTAGTCTCCTCGTATTCTAGAAATAGTACTCTCATATCCAGACAGCTGTAATATTTCGCAAGATATCAGGATGATACAACTGCCAACTACAAACAATGTCAAAAAAACATGCTTGCATTTTCTGCAATTTCACCGTGAAATTAAATCGTCTTTAAAAATTCATAAATCTAGTTTAAGTCAATTAAGTTTATTTCGAATATGATGAAAGAAAAGTGCGAACATTCACATGTGGTTTTTCTCGCGATAAAATTATCAAAGACTAAAATTTTAGATTCTTCTACTTATATAAAATTGCCTTCGCTCATTAATCTTGATAATGTAAAAGCCACCAGGAGTTAACACCTGTTGTTTTATTTTATCCTTCAGGAGAGTGAACAGAATCAACAACACCGACATTTTAACTTTTAAGGCGATTAAGAAGAGGAAAGTAATTACTTTGATAAGTTCAAGCTTGTTTTTGATAATCATGGTGTAATACCGCTTAAGAAAATTTCAGCAAACCACCCACTTTTTCAAACCCGATAAAATCTGATCACATGTAATAACGATAACTTTTTTTTCAAATCGATGTTTCTCTCAATATAATTTCCGTTATGAGTGAAAAAGCAATTTGTGAATTACCCCAGTTCACACTTGGAGCCACGATCAAGTTAGAGTCAGTTAAAGTTTCAAGTCTGAATGCCAAATCTGGAACACTAACACTAATTTGATTATGTTGTTAAATGCAACGTTTCGCCTCAAACAAGCAAATCATTAATGTTGCACTAGTTTCCCAACAAGATCGCTTTTTAATAAGATTAAGACGAAGAGTTCGTGCTAGATAGGGCTGCACTTGGTGGAATTACGTTTCTGATGTCTGCTCCAGTAAGCGCCTTTTAATAAAATGCTCGTTACACATTTTATATCTGAGAGACGAGAGCTACGTCCTGCACTAAATTAATCATAAATTTCTCCCGAACTGCAAATATCCTGACTGCTCTCGTAATCCTAGCCATTTATTAAAATTTACCTTCGCTCTTTGCAATTCGAGTGGAAATAGAACGAGGATTTTTTCTCACACTTGTTTCTGTAATAATAAGTGGAGGCTCTCACGAGAAGCACTCGCGAAAACCGGACGCCGGTAAGAAAATCCGACATCGGAAAGGCGGGAAATGCGAGTGGAAAGGCGTGGAAGCAATAGGGTACTGAAACGACTATTTATTTCACTTACAGGTTTGGTGTCGCCGGAACCCAACAGAGGAGAGTGTGCCTGAAACAAGAAACAAAAATAAAGTTTCAGCAAAATAAAATAAAACTTAATCATTCTGTTCGCCAGATTGGAAAACGTTCCACTCATCAGCCTGGATCAAGTGTTATCCAACGGCACATATTTGCATGTAAATTACATACGACGCAAATTGATTGCATATTATCTTTTCCAGACTGATAGAGTGCATTTTCCCCGTCTCAATCAATTAATAAGAAATTCATAAACCCGAGTAAACATAAAATTCTATATTTATTCATAAGGTTTTTCAATTTATCAATCAAATTCATTAAGCTTGTAATTCAAGCGTCAAAAAACCGAATTTGTCAAGTTGGGCATTAATCACTAAGTCCAATGCAACGAGAATTTAACAGCGTCACAAGTGGTCGTTGAAAATGCAGGAGATTCGGTAACAGTTGGTCCTTTGCCAACAAAACGTTAGAAAATCTGACGTGTCTGGTCGGCGGGAATTCAATTACTGGAGATTAGCCCTTCTCAACCACGATCCAGACACGCAAAATTCTATTTGCATGGTAAACAGAAGAGAGAAGAGAATTTGTTCTACTGTGGTCAATTTTCGTCAAACGATTTCATAAAGTATCAGACAATGACCGTAGAACTTATTAGAGGACTAATCAAATCGAGATGTGACGAGACTCCAACTTCAACAAAGCAGTTGTTTCAACTTTCCGTCAAACAAAAGCAATTACGCCAACAAATGTGCACATTTTCACAAATCGTCAATCTATTATTTAAAACTTTGAGCGAATCGTTCAAGTGGAAAACCTTTTTAATCAAATAAAATGTCGGAAACGAGCAAACAATTTGCGTCCTACAGAAATTACTTCGACTAACATACGTTTAAAATGCAGCTTGTGACCTAAACGATGCATCAAAATTTCATACGTGCACATAACTTACGCCGGAAAATGAATGCAAACTTTCGTATAACTGCAAATCGTCACGTTCTGCACAGAATGGTTGGAAAAATCTAAAAACTCTAAAGGAATATATTTGGATACGAAAAAGCAACCAAAGCATTTGCCCAATCCATCAATTGAAGCAATTTCATTAAGGTTTTTTCTGAAACCAAGATAAATGCAAATGTAATCAGATCATTTGCAAGAAAGCTAAAACCAGGTGAAATTTCGACACCAAATCGATACAGTCTTGATCAGTGAGGCAAAACAATAACGCACGTGAGAATAGAATTCAGACGGGCCAAGAGAAGGTTATGCGAAAAGACGTAATTCGTTTTAAATTAAAATATATGTGCAGTTTAGACGATTTCCCTAGAGGGTTGCGTGAGATACGTGCTTAGGAATCGAGTAACGCACCGCGCATAAAGTTTTCCAGCTTTTGCGGTGAATCGACGACCCACATAAACTACCGGTTAAGAGAAACTAGCGGCCTTTATGTTACTGTTCACCTGCATTATATACCTAGTTCTTTATTTAAAAATCAACCGGGTCATTTATTTTCTCGGAAGATGGAGTAGAATGATAGGAATAAACGTGTTTCGACAGAACAAGTACTAAATTGATGATGGCATCAACTCCGACTTGAATTTTATCAATTTCAACCAAAAAATAACAGATGCAAACAAATCCTGCTGTTTTTATTTTTGACACATTTCAAGAGGCGAAATCTGATTCCTCGACTCACCACTGCATATCGCCCTCTTCCTGTTGTAGCAATTCCCACGAGTTCTTATTGTTTTCGCAGTTTTCTCAAAATTATTACTTCTTATTTGCTATAAATAAGGTTGCAATATTTTATGAACAGTGTAAAATTTTGCCATAAAAAAACCGATATAAACCCTGCATGCTACTAAATGGTCATTCTGTAGCCAAACGATAACACTTTACTTCCGAAACACCGTTAACGTTTTCTTTGGCGTTTCTTTGAAAGGCCAACCCCATTATTTTTAAGTTTTATGGGAAAAAACTCTAGCGCAATGTAAGTTACATCAAACTTCCCTCTTTCGGCCGTTCTGGGATAATGTAATAATAAAATCATCGGCGCGTGTTAATGTCTCTAGGGCATATCACGTCCTAACGTTGGTCATCACGTTAACACACCAACCGTATCGACTACTGTCAACTATTTCATTTCAACATCAATGGAATTAATTAATCAGTTTGAAATCAAATTAAATTAATGTACTTGGTCGTTAGGAGACTTAAAAAGATCCAATTACTTTTTTAAGATCGAAGACACCGTTAGCCAGCTTTTCCAAAAGAAAGAGTCTAATTTTTTACTCTTCCATTAATAACCAGAAAGTCACTAGTTTTACGCTTAAAAAATGTTCGACGTAAAATTTATATAATTTATTCCCTTCAAGTGAAACAAATTGATTAAACAAGTTATGTCCCTATATTTAATTTGCAAACTTTGCGTCTTCTAATAATATGGTAGTGGTAGTAGAGTTTCGTTTTATTTCTCAGGGGATCTTGAAATTTTTTGAAGGACCACGCTTCTATCAAGTTTGTTTTCCTTACTTCGTATTTAAAACAACTTTCCAAAGTCAATAAAGCCAAGATCCCGCTTCCAGAATTTTAAATGTAAGGGCATGTGTACGAACCCTATTGTTTGAAATGACTCGCAACCTTGTGGGTGCAAATTCGATGGAATTTATGCGTTGAAACCTCACGCTGAATAAACCAACGTATATATAGCGCAATAAGAGATCCGTTTGGAGATACGGCCAGATTATGAAGATGTAATGCCGGTTTGAAATCGAGACGAGTCTCTCCCCGACCGGAATTGAAACATCTTATCGGCGTGTCCGTGAAACGCTTCGTCTCCCTCATTTTCCTACTCTACCTTTACGTAAGTCGAGGAGGTAATGACAGCTTCTTCAGCCCATCCTCCGTGATGAATTGTAGTGGTTCGGGCCGTTATCTTGAGACTCGAAAGACTTTCCACATTGTTGCCGCATCGTTTATTATACATTATGGAATTCCAATTCGCGCCTGAGGGATTTCACGGATTTCGAGAGGTTCGGAAAGGACTCACTAAAAACTTACGTCGCCAGACAATTCAAGTTTGTTTTATTTTGCGCAAGGGTTTCTCCGTAAATGGGACTTAAGTCGCCACTAAAAGCAGTTCCTGGGAGATTTTTTACCGGTGAGCCAACAAGATTAATCCTTCGTCTGCCTCACAGTATCGAAATTTTTGCTTAAAAAACACCACTCACAAATAGTTCAAGTGAAATGTAAAAACTTCAACACTTCCAAAAAAATAAAACGATTCTTTAATGGTCATTTACAAAAACAATCAAGATACCAAAACTACAATCAATGTAATTCTAAATTAACTTAATCACTTTTACAATTTCTTAAATGCTGTTTGCTTTTCTTAATGCAATATGTATGTTCCTTGTAAATCAAGAGAAGAAACTGCGATTTTCAATGTTTTATTTATAATAAAGTTTCCTATTAGTTATTGGTTTGAAACTATAATAAATCTCATCGAAAAAAGTGCAGAAGCTACTCCTACAGCAACCAGAAGGAACAATTTAAACCACCCAAATTCCATTTCCAATAAATTTGATATTTCTGATTGGAACTTCATGTTCATGACATAATAATTCGATTTGCATGTCATCCTGTAGTCTGGTTGTATTCTAAAAAAGCCCCAGTGAGATAACTTTGTTAACAAATAAGTTGCTCGATTTACTCCGAATTTAAGATTTACATAAAGTTGTCCGTTTTCGAGCTATTAGGCGCTGAAATGAAATCAATTCTTCGGAATATGGGACGACAAAGCGACAATTTCAATCCAATTTGTATGCAATTCCGGTTGTTTAATCAAAACGCAATATAACCGACACAACGGACGTCCAATTAAGAAGAATCCCATTTTTATTGGCAAGATTTATAAATCCTTCTAGGATTTTTTCACTCTCAAAGGTATCTTGGCAAATTTTGACGAAACACTTCGCACCGAAGACAATGATGTTCTAACTTATTAAGACATTTATAAACCTTCAAAATTAGGTTTGTAACGAAACGGCTACCGAATCGGGACAAATTGATTCGATTAGAGCTTTTCCTGCGAAAATTAAGCGAAGAGGTGAGGAGCAAAAGCTCCAATTACGTGTTCTTTCCTCAAATAATAATACAAACGCTCGTAACATTTCGTTAAATATACTTTTCGTTTTAATTTACTGAGGCAGTTTATGTAAATACACCTATACGAGGTGGGAAGTTTGGGACGGGTGCTTTGACGAAGTCACGTCTTTACGGGCGGCAATTAACGGATGATAATGCTAGAGTTTCTTCCTTAAGGAAATGAGATACAAACGGGAAGACACTTGCTTAAACACGTCTCGCTACTGCGTTCTCCTTATGCTTGATTAATTCAGAGATAATCCGCCCGCTTCTTACTCCACTTGAGTAGATCGTCCAACTGTCGCACACTTTGCATGGCAAAGGATACACACTTCAAACGTCTATTTTCATCCAAACGGGACAATCGGAAGTGAATTTTTTTTGAACAAAACCCTCCTCGAGTGCATATTAATTTGAGCTTCGTTCACGATTTACTTGGAGGAACTGTCCTAATTTCTCGCTTGTTTCAACAGATAAGGTCGTTGTAACCGCACTATTAGTCAGCTAAATTTCGTTCGTACATTACCATAGGTACAGCGTCCGGGCACGAAATGCTTATATCGCAGCTAAACAGGGGCTATTAAATGGAATAATTTAAAATTATCTGTGGATTTTGAAGTCAGCGTAATAACAAGTACTGTACACACATGAGGAGCGATCCTAGGAGCCATAAAAGTTTGTTAAGGGGTAGATTATATCCGGAGCAAAGTCTGTCGTACAAATACGTGACACGGCACTAATAGGACATTAAGCAAGTGCATTAAAAGCATGTGCTCAAGGTATGGTCCCTTGATATTGAATTTAAATTACACTATAATCAGTTTCGGATAATCCACTCACTTTGTCTCCATTTTTAGAAACTTTAAAATGGAGATTAAACCGATGGTGTAATTTCACGCCCAAATAAAGACAATTTTTTACTCGTCACCACAAAGTATCAGCAAATTTTTGAACTATTCATACTGGACAATACAAACTACCTAGCTATCTTCAAAAAACACTCTACAATTCGGGAGACCATGGAAACAAGAACTGCAATAAGAACAATCTTTAATCTTCAAATTAAATTAACACATTCTTGACTAACGTCTTTTGTAATAAGTAAACAAGCAAACTGTGTGTTAATACAGTAGAATTTTATTAATGCACGAAATATACCAATACCAAGGTTAGCGTTCGATATATCGGGTCTTGAAGCAGTTTCGAGTTATTTACCTAGAGGTTAAATCAGTTATGAGTGACAAAATAAGTACAGTAGTTTAAATGTAAATTATGCATGACACTGCTCGTGCTGCGGAACGCGCACGTCCGTTTTACCGTGGAAGAATCGTCAGTACTTAACCTAAAATCCTAAAAATCCATCGAAAGTATGATTCTATCGATATCACCCACCCACCCAATGATTCATTTCAATTAGAAATTCACACAGAATAAAACTTACTAGATACGACACGAAAGTTTCCTTGTTCTGGTGTCTTTTCGAGGAAAACATCACGTGTTAACTGACAATCACTGCGTACCCACGGCCTTAAATTAAGATACAATACCGCGTAAAAATTAAGTAGGATCATTGAATGCCGGAGCAGGGAACTGTGTGATTTCCGGACGAGCGGTGTGTCGAGGTAGACGATGCGGACTGACCATAATATTGTCGACTGTTATTGTGTAGTGATACATAGACTAGGTGCGGTGTGGAATCCATTATATTATTACCACATACACAGCATGGAGGTAAACGCGTTCTAGAGATGCAACCTGTAAAAAGCTGAGGCATTTGACGGCCGTTGGACGTCAAGTGCAAAGTTTTTTTTGGAAGCAATCAACTGAAATGCAGGTGAAACTGGTTGAAATATAATACATACAAACGGATCAATTACGAGGTTTCATTAACTGACGATATGAACCAACTTATATCTCCTCTTTGTCCTCTTCGGAGAATATGAAAGAAAGAGAATGAAGGGTTTTAGTGAAATAACCAGGAAGAATTCTGGAGATATTTTCGTATTTCCGCCAATTATGATGACACTTGATACAATCTAAATTAATGTTAGTGAATGATGAATTGGGTTTATCGTTATTTCCCCAGAGTGATTGTCTTGAAGTTCTCATTCATCAGATCAACTCGAGCTTGTTATTCATAAATAACTAAAAGAAATTGGGAGGAAAAACTTATTAAAAAACATGAACAGCAAGGGCAATAAGATTGTGTTTTGCTCCGTATAACAACTTGATTCCACTACCATATATTCTGACGAGTTGTAGCCAAGTAGTTTTTGTTCTCAAGTTTCCGGTGTGAGAATTTAACTAATTTTAAGCACATGACCGGAATAAGTAGAAGTCATAGATGTGTTACCTCTAAAATAATTTGCTAGTTCTGAAACTGATTTTCAACGAACAATACACAATAAATTATTTCTAAACGCAATAAAATGAAAATAAATTTGATGCAAAAATTGGAAAAATAAAAGATGATTTATCTAACAACACCAATGTCGCAATCAGCAATTCGTAGGGTCGAAACTGAAGTTGAATAAAGTTGACGTAGTTGAAATAACTTATGCCCTTCTCTCGCGGGGGTGCTTTGACAAAAAAATTCTAGACAAAAAAGGGATGTCTTTCAATGCAACAAATCAAGATAATCTATGAATTGGGAATTAAAATCTGTATCTCTAAAGAGAGAATCAAAATTTGGTGATTAGACAATGATTAAGATAAATGAAAAGTCAATGTTACATAATATTTTTTTAAACAATTTACTTGTTTGCGTATGTTGTACCACATTTTTGTTGATTTTGTTTGGCAACTCTCAGTGATGATTACAAAAAAACCGTAAACGATATTTTTTCATTTGAATATTATCTACGGACTATAAAATGATTCATGAAACAGGGTGTAGCCCTGTTGGAACCAATTGATAACGCTATAATTATTATCGTCTATTTACAGGTTGTAAACGCAAAGGTTAAACAAAATACTTTGTCCCTCCACATGTTTCATCAAGACAAATTAGATACATACACCTTTAGTTTTTCAGTAAAATAAATGTATGCCACACGCGTTAATTTACAACGTGACTTGATGAATTGTTCGCACTCACCGTGTCCAAATTGAATAAGGACGAAACTTTTTTCATAAAACCGTCTTGTTGCCGCTTCTTCCTTCTCGATGTCATTTTTCGTTTTGTTATCACCGTTTCGTGATGATTAATCCACCAATATACAACGAAAAAATTGAATTCGGGACTACTCTCATATCACAGTAAATTAAACGAACTTCACTAACACATTAATTGCTTCACTCAACTAAAATCACATTTTTTCACAATTAGGTCTGTTTCAATCTGGATTCGATATCCGTAATACAAAAATTTGGCTTGCGAAATATGTAGGAATTTTATTACAAACTAATAATAATTTCCAGACTATAAACGAGTTACCTACTAGCATTAGTTACATCAAAATCAAAAGACAAAATGAAAAACTATCTATGACGTACGTACCTAGGTGCAAATAAACTATGTTATGTATTTTGTGATATGTAGGGTATTGTTTTGTTTAGTGCAGGAAAGGTTATTTAACTGAGCAATCTATGAGATTGCAACTAGAATATAAACATTAAAGTTACATCAAGTAAATGAAATTGAGATTAAATTACTTTCTTGAAAGGCACTTTGCTTTAGAAATTAACAAATTTTGCATTTTTAAGACAAGTCCAAACATTATACCAAACTTGTTTCCTTTGATCAAGACACCACCTACATATCAAAAACAAATTACAAACTACGAAGACATGAAAGAACAAAGAATTTCCACCCAGATTCTGTGTACAATTTATTTTCGAGTAAAGCTCATTCATGAATTTCTAAAAAAGTGAGATAGTTTTCTCAAGTTTCAGGTATCTTCTAATAAACACATAATGAACTTCTCTTGTTACTTATACCACTTATATTAAACTGGTTATGGAGTTTTTGCAAAAGTTACTAAAAACGTTTGATACGTTTAATCACTTTCTAATTTTCTCTTCAATTTCTAATAAGAAACAAAATCAAATTCCGCTTTCGCCATCCCTTGTTAGAGTTTGAAATAGTATTTCTTGGAACATCCAAATGACAAATTCGCTCGAGTAATTTCCTTTATATAGCGTTTTGAAACTGTGACAGACAAAACTGAATGATACAGAAAGATTAATACACAGATCTGTAATTTGAGCGGGAAAATGAGACGATCGCATCACCTGTCCCGTGAGTTCATTTGTTTTACGCTGTTAAAGAAGAAACTCCCACATACTTTGCAAGCCAACTTAAGACAACATTACAGACAGTGTAGACTGGTTAGTCTAGCTTGAGATGTCATGATCTACGTTCAATGGCATTCACCTTTTTACCTTTAGAACTAGCGGCCGGTACAGTTAATCCAAAAAAGTATATTTCAACATTCCAGCCAAACACGAAATCACAGTATTATTTAAAAAAATATATTGAATTTTTTTTTAACTATAGACGAATAAAAGCTAGACACACGTGAGTCGTTACTTAATAATAATTTAAAGGTAGGCCATGAACGCGTCTGTCAAAATCGAATTTTTAGGTTAGGTCGGCCTTGAAACGTCAAAATTCCGTCGAAAATGCACTTTTCACAATCCGCATGCCACAAAAATCACATTTAAATGTCACAGAGTCGTTTGATGCACTCGTTCACTCCAACTTTCGAAAAAGCCTTCGTGTATCACCGAATGATATGTAAACATCGTCATGTTATCAACTCGAAAAACGCAATCACAAAACAACCACTTGTAGCTTTGCCGGTTTGGTCACCAACGTTGGCATTTTGCCTGCATGGCGTCCGAGCTTGATAGGGTGCAACGTCACAAACCGGGAGGATACGGCATAAAAGGCATTTTGTTGTATGCACGACCGTTGGTACGCTTGGTACCGAACATGACCGAACAGGTTTTTCGGATTGGTGGTGTTTCTTGCTGGGATTGTTTCTTTCTTACGTTTTCCTGATTGAAACAATTACTACTGTTGTATAGTGCATTTCTTCAAAGCAAGTGCATTAAGCAATACTGGGAATAATTCCGCTGTCGTTACTTAATTAAGTGACCTTGATTTCAATGGCCACCTATTGTTACCTGTTTTTTATTTGTTCTTAATATTTTTGTTTGCTTTAATTGCCTCAGAGTTAACAGAAACCATACCGCATATCCGCTACTTTAAACAATTACGTCATTTATTTCGTCAGGATATTGTGTTTATCTTTTTTCTCTATTGCATAAAGAAATAGGAAATCGAATTAGAAGTCTTATGCCGTCTGATTTAATTTGCATATAGTATGTAGAAAGGATTGCATTGTTGGAATTGGTTAGTCCCAAACATTAGGTACCCAAATTCGGTCACTAAAGAGTTGTAATTATTGTATTTATCACTTTTTGTAATGCTAATTAGTATTTCGTCATCGAGCATCATGAAGCAATCTGAAAGTTAAAAAATTTTCTTCAAAAATTATCTCTATTGTCTCTATTGTCAAAATTTGTCTCTATTGACAAAATGTGGGTATTATGTAGTTAGTTAAATGGTTATGAAAATGGTTGGGTAAATAAAAAATAAAACAAAATAATTTGTATTATATACATATTTTGAAATATAAACGAATCCAAGTAAATTGTATCTAACCATGCTTCTAGTTAGACAACACCCAATACATAAGTTTAACAGAAGTAAAATAGAAAATAGTGATTCAAAACGGTTGTTTTTCAAATACTTCACTTAAACAAAAAGAATAACGAAATAAAGTCTTTCATTAAAAAAAAGATTTATCGTTTTCACTATTTAGTCCAAACTCGGTCCAAAATACAATAAAACTAAATGCAATGTTTTTCTGCCGTAGTTCAATTACTAATTTAAATTAATTAGATACATATGGACATTTCACTTAAATTCACAGAGCAACTAATTAAAACAACGCGGTAAAATAAGCATCACTAAATTAAACGAAATATTTTAATATTTATTTATTAATTAATTTACATTGTTACCAGTTTGTTTTAGAGTTTTACATTAGTAGTTAGTACTACAGTAATTTAACAATTATTTTTATTCAAGTAGCAAACTCAGAGAATTTGCTAATTAAATCAATAGGGCTCACATTAAACTCCCAAACAATGTTTCACGTTTTAACAGAAAATGCCTTTGTTGTTGACTTTATCTTAATCAAATATCCCAATAATGCCAACATATTACGATTTATATGTAAACCTTAATTTCGTTTCGGCTATAAATGGAATTTAGGGAGAACAAACGATCTCGTGCTGGACATCAACAATCTGTTGATAAAATCCAGCTTCTCGTTGGGTTTATTCTCTAATGGAAAAATATTGGTATATACTCGTAACTACCGCCGATTGTGAATATATTTGAATATCTATTGATATGGTTGATTCAAGCCTTTTTGAGTGATTTTTAAACATTGGTAGTTTTGAATTGTTTATTTAAAAATATTCCCTCAAAATAATCTCTTATTAAAAAAATAGGTCGCATAATTTCATATACAGTATTTTACAAGAGAAAAAGAAATGTCTGAGATTTTACGTCAAACGAATAACATGTTTTGCTTAATCTGAAACGAGAAAATCTGTAATTAAAACTTCATTAGTCTGATTCAGTGAAAAGAAAAGTTCATTTTTCTCTTGATTTTGGATTTGGAATTTTGTTCTATATGCTTTCTAAATGTTATTACATTGGCGGTTTTATTTTTTTGACGATATCACTTTGACAATTAATTAATTAATTGAATAATGATTGTACTTGTTAATAAATGACTTTGTTTTTTATCTAAAAGCTGTTTCTTTGAGTTGCCATTTATTAAAATTATGTTTTTCGCAAACATTTTTATTTAACTTGCCAATGTGATGGTAATTAAAATGCAAAAAAAATTATTACAAATCCAAAATCAAGAGAAAAATGAACTTTCCTTTTCAATAAGTCAGATTAATAAAATTTTAGTTTCAGATTTGCTTGTTACCACTTACCAGTGAAACAAAAAATGTTTTTCCTTTACAGTTTTTTAAGCAAAAATTAAAATTTTTCGTCTTGTATACTCAATCCGGAGACATACATAATAAGGAAAATGTTTGCTTCTTAAACACTGAATGAATCAATAAAAGCTGTGTTAGTGACATATCTGGCAAAATTGCTGTTGATTTATCCTTTATGGAAAACAGTTTGGAAGTTTTTCGTGCAAAATATGTTTAAGGAGCGCCTAAGTAATATATTTTATTTATTACGTCGGAGAAGCATTTGAATAAGCTGGTACTATCGTACTTATTAGATCGTCCCAGCTATATCAAGCGGATGCACTAGACCTGCCTCAAGTTTTCTCGATATTACTTTTATAGCTCCATAAATTCAAACTAATGGTGATCTTGTTTTAGTCTGTTATTATCATTTATTTAACTCGAGTACGAGCGAAACGCCGAGTTGTGAAAACATTTGTGTAGAAATAGCCCGAGTAGTAAAAGTTGCGAACGAAGGTATAATAATAAGGGTGAAGATTGAATTCTGAATACATACATGCGGAAGAATTTCAATTCTCACGCAGGTGCGAATATCACACTGCTTTTTGTTCACTTGAAAACGAAAATAAATTCTTTCCGTCTCCTGAAATCCGAACACTGCAAGTTTTCTTAAAATAGCTATAAATTCTTCTCCGCATGGAAAATGGAAGCTTTGGTTATGAAATGAATCGACGATTTGATCGATGTGTGAATTTCCAACCGAGCGAACTCTAGACAACCAACTATACACGTCGGAAAATCTTTGAATTAAGTTAAAACGTGTGGAGGTTCAAAAAGAAATCACTTACCTGATCGCTGTCATTTCCTTGCCAGCTGTCGTTTCCCTGCAATCAAGAAAATTCGTAAATATTAAAATTAAGCCAGCCATCAATTGCAGATTTACGATGTAATATTGAAAATTAAGTCAGGACGTAAATTGCTGTTTGAATATTTAGATTAGTCTGATGGAATAATTTGATTTCAGAAAAGTTTCAGACGAGTTTTTTTGTCTCTGCCAGGCCTTTATGTTCAAATCATCGCCACTTAAAACTTGCAGAAAGCGTGGAAAAGACATGATGATTGTTGATTTAACTTTTATTTGCCAATATTTTAAATAATTCACAATTGCGCTTAGTCGCAGATATCGATTCTGATTTACAAAAGAACTCCAAACCAGGATTATCGTCCAATTTGACCCGATATACCAAGCAGGAAAACAAGTAAAATTTTTATTGCGGCTCGAAACGTGCTTACTTCTGTCATTTTGTCGAGATTTCAGTCGAAGTCAGATAAAGGCCACCTCAAAACGTGATCTGTCCCAAAACTTTCAAATAAAAAAAAGGTTCAGTAATGACACTCTAAACCAAATAACTAAAAAAGGATTGCTCACTAATCGCAATGACACAAAAAATAAAAATGATAGTAAAAATACGAAACTAAAATACAAGTAGATTGTAACAAAAATATTATTTTTATAGTTTTGTTGATACTTTGAAACCGGTGGTAACTTTGTAGGTATTTAGAAAAGCTGTTTTAGGACAGTTGAAAACAAAACGTCGGTTGTTTCGGATGATTTAACACATCTATAGGTTCAGTCCCGTACCGAGGATAATAATGGGAAGCCACTAGGTAACTTGGAAGCTTCCGGTCAAATGATACATTCGAGCTGTTGGAATTCGCTTAAGCGTCCGCATTCCGAACTGCCAGAAATTAATTATTGGCAGTGTATCTAATTGAGAGCAACATTTTAGCAAGACCTATAATGTATGTAGCACATCGGATTCTCGGCATTTCTCGTAATTGAAGTACGCTGCACGTTGTGGCATTGTAAATAAATTTTGCGTAGTGAATTTTAACTTTAAGTTTGTTTTTCGATCAGTTGACGACAATGACCTGACCAAGTGTCGTTGAAAATGTCATCCACGTTCCCGGCTGGGGTGTTGTTTGCAACCACACTTATCTTTTTCCCCCAATTCTTGTCGAAATAAATTGTGTTTGTGTTATAACAAATCTAAACATGATTTATCTTCATCGACCCAAATTGATTTGTAATATTGGTATTGTTTGACACGGCAAGGGTTGCTTGCCGTGAAATTGTACACCGCAACGTCCCTCATCAACTGCACTGTTTTCTTGGCGCTATAAATTCCCTGATTAATGTGGGAAACGTCTCCGGGTATTTACAAAGGAGGCGCAGCCGAGGCCGTCTAACGATTTTGGCGCTGTAT